TGCTCTCATTAAAACAGTCACCATTGCCTCTACTGGAAGTTTCTCAAGAACAATCACTCGACAGCGGCTTAAAAGAGCAGCGTTGACCTGGAAGGAAGGGTTTTCAGTGGTTGCCCCAATCAGCGTAATCGTCCCACATTCCACATGAGGAAGGAAAGTGTCCTAGTCATGAGAGGAAAACAGAAGTAAATGATTCCAGTCAGTAGCCACCTGCAGAATCCCAAGTAAGTTGGCTGTCTATTCTTTCATTTTTCTAATTTCTACCTTTAGATTGTATGCATCTGATATGGACACAACATCCGGAAGACTGTTACTATTGGTTTTTAAGCCTAAACTAACATAACTTGGACGCTAATGTCTAAACCTGATCTCTTATTTATAGAATAACTCTTAGTAGAATTAGTTTCAACATAAATGACTTAACTTAAACTATCTCTGTCCAATGCTGTGCTTCAAAAAGATTACTTTTCTAAAACTCTCTTTCAGTACAAGTACTCAACTACATTGTTATTCTTCCTAACAAACTTTGTGAATATGTAACTAGCAGGTACTTTCTTATTGGCAAATGTTAAGGTAAGTCAAGGGTCCCCTATAAAACCTAGAATGCCAGGAAGAACTCTACAGAGTTTTTTCCTAAAAAAGATTCAGAAAAGGAGAAAGTTTATGAAATTTTTGAAACAGTTCTAGCTACAATTAAAAGCAACAAAATAGATCAAAGAAAAAATATGCCCCCAAATGTTTTACTATTTAGAAAAACCTCCAAAGTGGCTTTGTTTGTAAAAATAGTTTCCTTTTATTCCTGGAAGCTACTGAAATAAATATAGTGACTAGATCTTAGGACATTCACCTGGATAAGACCTGAAGGCACAGATAATAAAATTTCAAGTTTGAAAATACATAATAGAGGGGAAAAAAACCCTTAATGATCTTAAAATCAAGTTCAAATGTTTACAGTAATATTTTTAAATTAAAATCTTTAATTTAAATATTTTAAATTAAAATTCCCTAAAAATTGGAAATGAACTAAATGCTGTTTTTCTGATATGGACAGTTCAGGGATATAGCAAACACTTCATTCACACCAGACAAGAGTTTTCTTGTTAGCAAAACATGAGAAAGTGTGGCCTCTTGGTATATAGTTAGTAATAACAAGTCTCTAGCACTGGTATAGTGCTTTTAACTTTTTAAAGTTATGTCATAAACTCTATTTGATGTACACAATTACCAAAACACAGAAAAGGAAGTTAATATACCTGCTGAGACTTATTGAACCGATGAATCTCATCAATAAAAAGGATGGTTTTCCTTTTGAAAAAGCTCTTTTCATTTTGAGCTTGTTTTATGACATCTCGCACATCATTTGTCTTGGCATTTGTTGCAGACAATGTCACAAACCTTATGCTATGTTTCTTGCTGTTGTTTGCTATGATGTGAGCCAGGGTGGTCTAGAAAAAATACACACAGTTTGAAACACTTATCAGACAAAGCAAGAAGCAGCACCTGTGGGTATTACAAAGCAGCATCAACACTATCAAGCAACCTAAACTCTAAACAATATTCAGAGGCACAGATGATCTGAACTATAAATATAGCAGGAAAGTAGCTAACTATTAAGCTAATCCTGACCTTTTCTCATTTGTCCCTAAGCCCTGTGATTCCTTTAATGGGAACTCAAGATCTTTGGAATCCCAGTAAAGAGCAACTGTCTTGATTTAGCAGAGCCTGGGTAACAGCTGTGACCCCTCACCAGAGAAAATTCTCCTTCCTTCATCCAAGAGAGATTGCAGTTAAAGGACAGGATAGGACTGATCTTAGAACTGGAGCTCAAATAGGAAGCTCAAGAAGGCAGTGAGAAAAGGAGTGAATAGTTTCCAAGTTGAGAACCAGTAACTCCCTAGTACCTGAGATGACAGCAGCCTACTCCTAAATGTCTACTCAGGAAAGAAAATAGAAGCACCACTTTGATATTGTTGGCATTACTCAATAAATATCACTGCCATTATTAATACTATTACTATTGTTAGCACTGTACTATGAAGATTGGGGGGAAAATGGGAGGAGTATTTAATGAGAGAAATAATTCTGTTCCTGAATGGAGATACTTTATTTTTTTGCTGGTCCTAGGGCTTGAACTCAAGGTCTGGGAGCTGTCCCTGAACATTTTTGCTCAAGACTACAACTCTACCTCTTGAGCCACAGCTCCATTTCCAGTTTTCTTGGTGGTTAATTGGAGATGAGTCCCACGGCCTTTTCTGCTTGGTCTGACTTTGAACTGTAATCATCAAGTAGCTGCCTCCTGCATAGCTAGGATTACAGGCATGAGTCACTGATGCCTGGCAGAGATACTTTGTAAAGCACTGTTAGATACCATGGCTGCTGCTTGACAAATCCCAGCATGTCTGCCTTTTAGACTTGGGGTCTCATGTCACTTAAGATGTGACTGAGCACCAACTGCCTTGATAAGCAGACAGTAGAAACTCTACTTCACTAAATCTTCTATGACCCATCCACATCTGACTTGCAGTTTGAGACCACCAAATATGAGATTATCCATTCTTATGTTGTTACGTAAATACTTCAAAATGACTCCAATGCTCCCTAAATGGGGTAACAACTAAATTCAGAGGGGTCAGGGCAGATGTCAACATGGAATTATTAAGGTGGAAAGTGTAGCTCATAGACTGAGTACATGCATAGCATATGTATGTAAAGTCTTGGGTTCAATTCACAGCACACACATACACACCTGACTTATGCCTGGCAAAAGGGACATGAATACAAACAAGCCACAAAAAGAGAGTGATGCATTTTGGGACTTGGAGGAGAGGTGTGGTAAAGAGATAAATTTTGAATGCTCTTGTGTATGCAAGAGTCTGAACCTCAAAGCTAGGAAAGCTCTTTACATTCTGATTCTAATTCTGCCCAACACTTGGGCTCATTCTCCTTCCTCTTCTATGGAAAGAGCATCCTACAGTTAAGCATTACAACTCCCTCTTTCCAGGGCCACCCTCTCCTCCACATTTTTTTCTCAAGTATTTTTCAAATGACAAGCTTTCTGAACCCATAACAACTTATCTTTACTACCTTCCTCTGGACTTGGGCCAATTCCTAACGAAAATACATGAACTGAACCCAGAAAAAGGTACTGGGGCTCCTTCAAACAGTATGAAAAAGCCATGTAAATGTTTGATGGAAATGACATGCACAGGTAGAGATATTTCATGAGTCCTGAAAACCACTCTTAAACCAACAACTAGTAGAAAAAAGAAGCACAATAGAAAAAAAAGTAATTGCTTTTTCCATATGTACATAAATGTTCCCTTCCAATTCTTCCAACATATTATTACCTTGGATTAGGTAAGCAAAAACCAGGAGTGAGAGAACAGCAATGAAACAAAAAGGTATTTGGAATCTGAATCCCCATCTTCGCATAAACCTACTATTCATAGGCTTCTGCCTTTAGAAAACGCCCAGCAAGTGTCTCAGGAATTGGGTGGGTTGAATGTGTGACGTTTACACACCCATCACGGCCTCCACTGGAGGACCTGGCACCGCGCCCTCTCCTGGGAGTAAGGTGTGGGGATGCTGAGGACTGTACCCCGCCTAGCCCGTGACAGCGGTGTGCTGGGCCCTCGATGGGTCGGCACTCACCTTGCCGCAGCCCGGCGGACCCCACAGGATGAGCGAAGGGATCTCGTTGGCCTCCAGCAGCGACCGGAGAAGCGTCTCCTGCCCCACGGCCCGGCTCTGCCCGATGTAGTCCTGCAGAGTGTCTGGGCGCATCTTGTCGGCCAGTGGCTTGCCCTCCAGCATCTGTCGGATCTCCTCCGCCGCCAGTGCCCGGGGATGCGCACGGCCCGCGCCGGCCACGAAGGTGGCGTCGGCGGTGTCCGCGTCCCAGTGGCCCGGGTCGTCCTCGCCATCTACGTCTGCGTCCCCGTCTCCCTCGCCATCGCCGTCGCCTCCCGCCTCCTCCTCTGGCGCCTCCGTCTCGTCCCAGCTGCGGGGAGACGCGCTGCCCGCCGCGGCGGCGGCCGCTGGCCGCTTCCCCGACCCCTTCCGGGCCGGGCTGCTGGAGCGGGCTACCGGGAAGTCGGGGATGAGGCGGGCGCCGCTGGGCGTGGGCGGCGCGTCGTAGCTCTCCCGGCTCTCGGTCTCGCCGCCGTCGTCGCCCTCTTCGCCCTCGCCCTCGCTGCTCTCGGCCGCCGTCGGGGTGGCCGGCTGCTTCAGCGCCGAGCTCTCCGACAGCCGCCGTCTCTTGGCACCGGGAGGCGAGGCCCCCTTGGCCCGCTCTCCGGCGCGGTGCGGCCCGGCTGTGGGCTCCGCGTGCCCCGCAGGGTGCAGCAGCAGGCAGCGATCCAGGTGCGAGTTGATGTGCGCGGCGGGCATCATCTGCTGGCACACGGGGCACTGCACCTGGTGCAGCTGCGACAGGAAAGGGTCGTCCTCCGGCCCGCTCACCTCCATGGCGGCCGCCGCCCTCCCCGCTTGCCCGACGCGGCCTCACCTGCCACCAAAATACCGAGGGCTCCGATGCCCGCCACTAGGCCCCGTGCCGCGCGACCCTAGCTCGGGGAGGCGGCTGGACGCGCGCGGGCCGGGGGAGGGCGCCGCTCATGCCTCACGTGCGGAGCTCCCGCGTCGGCGCGCCCTCCGCCGGCCGCGGGAAACGCGGCAGATAGCACGTCGGGACCTGTAGTCCGAGACCGATTGCCCCGCCGTAAGCCGCGTCTCGCGCGGACCTTCGAGAAATGTAATTATTTTTAGGTTATTCAGAAGTAGGCAACGTTTCGCGAGGCACGCCGGGAATTGTAGTTCAATGGCAGTCGCCAGGGCCGCAACTGGTCCACTTCCGGCTCCGCGAAAAGACTTTGTGTGGGGTGGGTGGGAATCGGAGCAGCGCGCCTGTGCGTCTGTGCAGCGCCGGAAACGCTCCCCTTCCTCGCGAGTGAGCGGGTGGAAGGAGGTGGTATGTTTGTGTCCGGGACTGCGGCTTCCTGCGCTCCACTGCCCACGCCCGGGAGATGGATGCGCTCAAGGGTAGGCGTGTAGTGTTGTTTGTAATGAAAGATAAATAGGGAGAAAACAAAACTTTAGAATAGAAAGCCGGCGAAAGGACCTAAACGACTGGAAAAACCTGTACAGTTATACTAACGGGGAAAAAAAGTTCACTTAAGCAGGGGTCAGAGAAACAGAAATGAGGGGCGTTTCTGCCCCTTTAGATTGTTTGCTTTATGGCCAGAGGCCTGTCACCCGAACACAGTTATTTTGTTTTTGGTAGATAGTAGTTTCAAATTGGAAAACAATGTAAGCATTCCATCCTGGTAAGAAAATGATGCCAGACAATCTTTTAAAGTTTCAACGCAGGCAGAGACAAAACAAAATTACCACCATAAACATTTTTAAAGGATGAGAATGCATGTAGTTTTCAACATATATAATATATATGATATATGATAATATGTTATATATGTATGGCACTCGTCCTGCAGTTTGAACTCGGGCCTGGGCACAGTCCCTGAACTTCTTTTGCTCAAGACTAACACTCTACCTCTGGAACCATGACTTTCCCCTTCTGGCTTTTTGGCAGTTTATTGGAGATACAAGTCCTGCCTGGGCTGGCTTTGAACCACAATCCCCAGTGTGCTGCCAGCACCCAGCATACATCTTTGTAATACTATTTTTCTTTTCTGTAAACTTCCTCATATGTGTATTACATATTTACATATATTAGCTATATACTTATAGTCATGTAAATATATGTGTATACACATACACATATGTATATGTATACATATACACGTATTAGTTACACTTGTGTTGGTTATGGATATTGAACTTGTGGTCCCTCTGCCTCAGCTTCCCCACTATCTAGGGGTGAAAAGTACCTTGAACATTCATTGTTGGTGATCAGCAAGTAAATAGATTGAAGGAGAATGCAAACTTATGAAATGTGGCACAGATAAGAGTTTTAATCTCTCATACAACCATTTCTCATTGAATGTTATTACAGAGTTTTAAATTTACTTTTCCTCTGAAGACTTGATCTCAGTGTATATAGTAAACTGGCAATAACCCAAAGGAAAAGGAATGTATAAATTCTATTATGTAGCTAAAGGCAAAGCAGTTACAGTCTTAAGAAGAACATGATGGATGAATCACACAGGGAAAGAGGCTTGGGCTTCTGGGTGAAGGGAGGTGGTCAATCTCTCTGATAAATTGAGTGGGAGGATGTACACAGCAAAGCAGCATTATCTTGTTAAGCAGGTAACTTCCTGTGGCTATCTCTGTCGGGATCAGGTGTTAAACACTCCTTCCAGCCTCTGTCTCTTTCTCTCCTCCCACTCCACACCATGGATGGATCTTCTCCAGGTAGAAGTGAGAGGAATGACATAGAAACAACTGTGTCTGTGTCTGGTTCTTACTAATGTAGGCACATGTAGGCTTCTTTGTACAAAAAAACAGCTTGTCACAGCCATTTTTTTTCCAGTCTGGGGCTTGAACTCATGGCCTGAGCACTGTCCCTGAGCTTCCTTTGCTCAAGGCTAGCATTCTACCACTTGAGCCACAGTGCTATTTCTTATCACAGCCATTCTTATTTGCAGTTTTCTAAAACTGTAGATGTGCCAAAGATTGTAGGTGAATATTTTGTTGTCCTGTATTAAGAACCAGCACCAAAAGATTCTATGATATTGTTCATATGAGAGGAAAATGACAGGATTTTTTTAAAAACATTTTTTTGGGGGGGGGTCCGGTCATGGGGCCTGAACTCTGGGCCTGGGCACTGTCCCTCAGCTCTTCAGCTCAAGGCTAGCGCTCTACCACTTGAGCCACAGCGCCACTTCCGGCTTTTTTCTTTTTGCTTATGTGGTGTTGAGGAATCAAACCCAGGGCCTCATGCATACAAGGTAAGCACTCTACCACTGAGCCACCTTCCCAGCCCCGACAGGATTTTTTTATATTTGATATTAGCTATAAAATGGTTGTCCCAGTCAGCTTTAAAATTAACAAAGACTTGGGCATATGGTGGTCTTTAAGCCATGCAAAATTTAAAAAAAATTAAGACAACAAGCTGAACGTCTGTGAAGTTTCTTGATGTTAATCAACATAAGGCCTAATTTAAAAATATAATAATAGAAAATCTATGTGTAACTATGGTTGGCTTTCCTAGTATTTTCAAATACAATTCAAGCTTGCACTGTGTACTTACACACACATACAATTTTTAGTCTTTATTTCTTACTGTGTGTTTCCATAAATATTGCCGTGGAAAATATTCATTATATAATATGGTGCAAAAATTAATTGGTTAAAAAGCTTAAATATATGTATAAATATATATCTATATATACATATCCACACACATGCATAGATGTATGTATACATATATCCATCCACATATTTTCCTTTTTTTTCTTTTGGTGATGATACTGGGACCTTGTATATGCTAAAGATGAACACTATTCCAGTCTTATGCTATTCTTCTTGTACAGGTGTTTTGCTCACTATATTACATAAAAAAGGAAGAGTAAAAAACAAAGTTTTTCATATATGTGTGTGTGTATATATATGTGTGTGTGTGTGTGTGTGTGTGTGTGTGTATATATATATATATATATATATATATATATATACATATATTGCTCCCCAAACCACAGACATGAGTAAAATTGAATTACTCAGATGTTGGTGAAGTAAAAATGGCCCAAATTTGACTTCAAGAATCTGGATTTGAGTTGGCCATAATGTGATACTGGGTAAAACTCCTTCTCAGCCATAGCCTTGAAATCTAAATTTGGAAGAATAATGTATACCTCACAGTCTCTTGTGAGATTTAAATGAACTTCAGAAATGTGAAAGTACTTAACATAATTCCTGGGATACATAAGTCCTTTATTCTTTTCCCCTTCCTTCCTTCCTTCCAACTGAACCTTCCTCTTTCTATCTGAAGTTTGATGTTTTCTCCACTAGATGGTGATGGTTGGTAGAAAAAAAATAAGCAAAAAAAGCCATACCAGCAGCGACTTTTTTTTTTTTTTTTTTTTTTTGCATTTTCAATTTGTGTTTTAATTTCACAACACTGTTTAACAAAATAAGGTCACAGTCCCGGACTGAGCACTTGGCAAAGGAAAGGAAGACGTAGATACTCACAGAAAACCACCACTGTGGACCAACACCGTTTCAAAACCCCAATCCATGTTTGCCAGGTAATGAGTCCAGTGCTAATTGATAGGGTGGATCCTTGCCTGAGCCCATGGGCCCACCGGAGTCGGGGCCCCTTCCTCGCCTGGCTGTCTTCCCCCACACTTCCTGCACTGCTAGCATCAACCTGCAGCCTGCGCCTTAGCAGCGTTTATTTTTTTTTTTTTGAAAAATCTTTTTACTCTGCTTTGCCTAACCAAATTTAAACTTTGTTTCTGGTGGCATAAACATAAATAAATACATTAGTATTATAATGTTATTATAAAGTTGCAGGAAATGAAATCAATGTGAAGCAAAAAAAAACCCAGGCTTAAATTTTCTTTAAGACCTTGTTGCTTGTTTTCAACTGACCTTGACTGTTTGCTTTGAGCTCAATAACTATCTTTCCTCCCTTTCCTCAGTCAGAATGGGGACAATACTTTGAACTCCAGCGGATCTTCTTAAATATTAGTAACCACATTACACTCTCAGCCTGGCTGCAATACCTGAATGCAGGTATATTTTTAAGTCTCCTAGTATTATTAAACATCTAGGTATTCATCTTATAGCTTCATATTCATACACAAGCCCAATTAATCCCACATGACAAACATCTCTGCCATCTTTAGTCATCCTCCTGAAACTTTGCCTTTGGTCATCTGTTGTTCTTAGCCTGTGATTTTTCTCCCCTAACCTAAGCTTTCTAGATTTTATGCTACGGTGCTTTGTAGTTTATTCTAACACATTTTATACAATTTCTTAGTATTATAAATAAGGCCTTTTAATTCTATTCTCTTATCTTTATTGATATAAGTGAATTGATATTTGTTAATTTTTTAATATTTGATATTTTTATGAACTTTTAAATTAGTTTTAACTGATTTTTTTTCAAGTGATACCGAGCAGCTGTTCAAGGTCCCATGCACATAGAAGCCAATATTGTGCTATTATGTTTTCTTTTTTAAAGACAGAACTTTTATTAAAGACCAACTGACAAGGACATACAAGGTGTGCCCAAATCTGTGCCCCAATTTATTGTCAGTGAGGCAATTTATGGGAAGGGTTAGGGGAGAAGCTGCTTGTTGATCGAATGGTAAATATTAGTTCCTTTGTGCACTATGCCTCTGCCGAGTTGCATGTTCTACGCCTACCTTGTGAGAGGCAGTTATCATGTTTTCCACGGGAGACTTTGCACTTCTAACATTGGGAGGTTATCAGCAGGCAAACAGGCTTCTTCTGCACATGCTCAAACTGAAATAACCATTTTTTATTTGGTCTCTGATGAGTTCTAGAGGCATTTCTTGTCAAACGACCTTGAAGACCTTTGTTACTTAATGAATTTATACCTGGTTTTTAGGAGGTTTCACTTGTAACATAATAAAAACTACATCTAATCTTCCATTCTTAGCATAGATGTTCTGAATCTCCGGGGATTTCCAGAGTGACAAGACTGCCATTGTTTTACTAATATAACAAGTCATGGTCTGCCCTTAAGGTTGGAATTTGGCAACAGCCCTATCTCTGTGGAAAGAAAGGAAGCTAGAGATGCGGATCATATCACCTTAGATTACAAGATGATTCTACAATAAAAATGTAGGACATTGAAGCTCAATGGAGCTTATTCTAGGAGGGTGGTAGGCTCAGACTCTAAAAGTGAGGGTTTGGAGTCCTGTCCTGGGATCCTCCTGGACCTTACTTCTTGGATCTGGAATGCCCTCCAAAGTCCCATGTCTTAAAGGGGAGGTTGCAGTTCATGACTCTTGGGATGTAATTGAACCTTTAGGACATAAGGCCTAGTGTAGGAAGTTAGGCTATCAAACAAGTATTCTTAAAGGGAATATTAGGACCTTGCCCTTTCC